CCCACCTGAAATTCCTGAAATATCCTGAAGTGGCTGAATCTTCTGAAAGGGGTTTCAGGTACCCCCATCCAACCATTTGGATGGGGGTACCTGAAACCCCATTCAGAAGCTTCAACCACTTCAGCAGTTTCAGGTCCCCATCTGAAATTCCTGAAATGACCTGAAGTGGCTGAAAAAACAGGCAAAAAAAAAAAAAAAAAACCCATAAAACTTGTCCTGCAAACCACCCGAAACTTATGAAATGACCTGAAGTGTCTTCAGGCCATTTCAGCGGTTTCATATCACTTCAGAATCTTCCATTCTGAAATTTCAGGTGGTCGTTAACCCCGAGTGATGGGAAGGAGGAGGAAGAAGCGATGGGGAGGAGGAGGAAGAAGCGACGGGGAGGAGGAGGAGGTGGTGGAAGATGAAGATCGGGAGGAGGAGGACGAAGAGGACGATTGGGAGAAGGAGGAGGAAGAAGCGATGGGAAACAGAGGAAGAGGGAGATCTGGAGGAGGAGGTGGAAGATAAAGATCGGGAGGAGGAGGAAGAAGAGAAAGATCGAGCGGAGGAGGAAGAAGCGATGAGGAGGAGGAGGAGGAGGAAGAAGCGATGGGGAGGAGGAGGAGGTGGAAGATGCAGATCGGGAGGAGGAGGACGAAGAGGAAGATAAGAAGGAGGAGGAAGAAGCGATGGGGAGGAGGAAGACGACGAGGAGGGAGACGAGGAAGACGAGGAAGACGAAGAGGAGGGAGACGAGGAAGATGGCGATGAGAAGGAGGAGGAAGACGAAGAGGAGATGACGAAGGGGGGGAGAAGGAAGACGAAGACTCTGAGGAGAAAATATACTTACCAGCGATGCCGACTCCCGACGACGGTGACAACTGAACAGCGAGAGCACGGCAGAAGGAGGCCTCCACGAAGATGGCGACGGGGGCATCTCGACGAAGAGGGCACGGCAGCAACAGGCCACATCAGCACCAACGTACGACCTGCACAGCGATGGCGACGACCAACAAGCCAGCACAGCTACATCGGCGTAAAGGGGTGACGTTGGGCGGGGGGTAGACTTTCCCGACACGAATTCGAAAATTGTGTTAGAACGATCTGCCCCTGCCCAGCGTCACCCCTCCACCCCGCGCTGGGCCCCAACTGGTTACCCCAGCCCACCCCTAGGCC